TCCTTGTTGCATAAGCAGTTTATCATTGTGAGGCAAAGAAACTTATTAGAAGGCAGAGGGCAGTCATAGCCACAGAGAAGCTCTTGAAGGTTTATAAATTGCCTGCAGACAGGAAAGAAAGAAAGTAACCACATTCAACTGTGATTGATTTCCACTCAAAGCCTCTTGTTACCCCCAGGGTAATTTGTTTGCGGAGAGGCAGCAGAACACAGTCCTTCACATATGGCTGCCCACAGCGCTAGAAACACAAGCGAAGCTCACAAGGCAGGACACTGCAGTACAGGGTGTGAGTCTTCAGAGTTGGCAGGAAAGAAAACAGAATAGAAACACTTGGAAGGTGGTGCTTTCTTGGAGTGAACACTGAACCATGCTTGCAGGCCGTGAGACTCGGTCTTGAGTACCTCTAACCTGTCGTGGTAAGACACCGTGACGCAGTAGCTACACCTTGTAGGTGCGCTTTGTGACACCTAGGTTCTCTATTTGAAAAAGAGCGAGCAGAGGTACTTGAGAAAGTTTAAGGCCCCTTCCCACTTTCCACCTCATAGTTACCTGCAGAAGGAATTACATGTGTGTAGCCACTGGGCCACTGGGCCGACTGGAAACATACAGTACACGGATGGGTGTCTGTCTCCTCTACATGGTTCCTTCTTGTCTTGTGGCTTATCACTTTGACTCTAAGGTAAGAGGAAGTGAAAAAAAGCGACCATCCCAATGTATATGTGAAGTCAAACATTTATCAGCCAACAGTTCTTTTCAGAGGACTCTCCCTCTTTATATATATGTATATATTTTAAGATTAATTATCATTTGTAGTGTTCTGTCTGCATGCATGTCTGCACACCAGAAGAGGGCACCAGATCTCATTATAGATGGTTGAGAGCTACCATGTGGTTGCTGGGAATTGAACTCAGGACCTCTGGAAGAGCAGCCAGTGCTCTTAACCACTGAGCCATCTCTCCAGCCTGGGACCCTCCCTCTTAAAAGGCATCTGTGTCACTCACAGACAAATTGTGTCATAGTCTAGGAGGTCTCAATCATCTCCCACTCATGCCTGTGGGAAAATTCATAAACTGCAATAAAAATCTTTGTCATTCCATATAGAAACCAAAGGGAGAAAATGTCTAAAATATAGAAAATGACCAAAAAAATTAATTAAATATTGATAACTTCAGAGCGATATCATGAAAATCAGCTCTGGTTTTCCGCAAGCACATTGTAGACATTTAGAATGTATTACTGAGAGTAAAGTGGTGGTCCAGTCATCCAAACAAGAGCTGGCAGTACCAAGACATGAAGATTCCAGAGCCAAACGGCTACAGAATGGAGAAACTTATAACTAGAGCCACCAAAGGCCTGAGTGTTTATTTGAAAAGTTGGCTGTGACAGTTTTAGGGCTCTGCACACCCAAGGCGAGAATTTCTGGTTCGGTGGTGGAATGCATCTGGGTTGTACGAAGCTTTTTACTTTTTCAGAACCACTGTTCTTCTCGTTCCCATCCTTGCCCTAGCTGCAGTTTCTCACATTCTGATGGCCCCCTCCACCTGTCCAAATAGCATCAGTGTTTATTACAAAGAACGGCAAACTCATCCACACGGTGCCTCTGTGAAAACTCCCCTCTGTACAAATGACTATGAGCTGCAAGGGAGTCTTTATTTTTATATCTATCTATTTATTGTGAAGTGATGCTGTTCCCACCTATCAACTCAGGAGCAGGTGATGCCGTCTTGACAGCGCTCCGTTTTCTCGGTTACGGAAGGGATGTAACATCACCTCTTAACTTCTAGAACGTATATATTATAATTCTCCTGGCAGAGAAAGCACAGCGACAGGGACCCAAGAGGTGAATTACTTAATTAACATCGCACAGCTGAGAAGTGGTGGAACCAAAGGTCTTAGGCTGACTTCAGTACAGACTGCTTGTCTTTAGAGAGTCAGTACAGGTGACCTAAGTACCAGCTGACCGCTGAGTGCTTCTAAGTGATGCTCTCCTACACCGGTCTTGCGGTCGTGGTGTTTTGATTTGGGTTTGTTGTTTCTCTGGTTTTGCTTTGGTTGTTTTGCTTTCCAGTGCTCACCTTCTACTGCAGCACAAAAATCAGCCCCAGTCCCAGCCCCAGCCTCAAAGCCTTGGGATTCTGGGGCCTTCTGTGTTTTAGGATAGTTAGGATCCGTGGCGGCGTGAAGTTAATCCACAAGCTATGCTTAATAGTGTCACATACATGTGTTGTCTTTCTCTTGCCGAAGAATCCAGCCACTGTCTCTAGAAATGGATGCATCAAAGTGCCAGTGGCTCTGCTATGATTTCCTTTTTCTGGGCACTAGATGTCACACTAAGTCAAGCTTTAGAAGTGACTTGGCTAAATAGGGTGTGGCAATTAAAAAAATTTTTTAAAAAAAACTACAGCTTTTGGGGAAACATAAAACTTAACTTTGAATTTCTAGTAGAATTCAGAAAATATTTTCTTTTACTCACATACAAACAATTAGAACTGTTAATCAGAGAACAGCAGCTTCTTGTTATCTCTGTTCAACTAAATACACCTTGCTTACATGCACATAAAAACTGTATCAGCCCTAAATAAAACAAAGGGATTTTTCTAGAGACAGTTCATGCACACTTATAGGCGGTCATTTGTGAGGCTTTCTCCCCCTTTTGTTGGTCTGTGTTGTTTGAGACAGTGTCTCCTATAGCCCAGGTAGGCCTCGACCTTGTTAGATAGCTGAGACTAGTCTTGAACTCCTAATCCTCCTACCTCTGCCTTCCAAGTGCTGGAACTACAAACTGATAGTCCTTTGTGCTCTGAGATGAGGAGAGGCTGTTCTTCCCTACAGAGAAACAGACAGGATACTAACTTGCCAGGGATGCAAGAAGGTCAAAGGGTGATGATGATGTAAGGCTTCCTGAGCTCCCAGAGCAGGCTGTGCCCCCACTCCCACCCCCAACCCCCAAAGCTCACTTACTCTGATTGGTGCTCTCAGAGATCTATAGCTATGTATTCTGGCTGGAGATTTGCCTGTGCAGTCTTTTCGTTGCTGTTGTTATTTGTCTTTAAAAAAAAAAAAAAAAAAAAAAAAAAAAAGACCTTAAAGAATTTTAAGTCAGTGACTTAAATGTTTGCTGAAATTTTGATGAAATTCTATTGAAATGTTTGGAATTCATTGGAGGCTAGAAAGAATTAATTCAAGCCAGATTGAAAGCTTACAATTAAGTCGTGGGCTTTGCAGTTTGTTTTTTCAAGTAACTCAGTAATGAGTTTGAGCTGTGTTTAATTATCTGCATGAGTGTAGGCACATATTTCTATTGTAATTAAGGTTGTAAATCATGTTTCCTAGGTTTTCAGGGGTTGTAGGTAATCCATGAAGACAAATGATTTTCACCGGAACCAAAAAATACCATTGCCTTGTGTTGAGGTTGCTCTGATAAATCAGGTTCTAATTGATAAAACAGCATTTTGTGTGTAGGATGTGTTCGTGTGTGGGCGTGCATGTGTGAGTATGTGCAGTGCAGGAGCCAGAGTTAGCCTCAGAAGCCATTCCTCGGGATGCTGTCCACCTTGCCTTTGGGGACAGCATGGTTCACTTGGCCTGCAACTTACGCATTCAATCAGAATGTCTGGCCATCAGGCCCCAGGGATCCACCTGTCTCTCTCTGCCTGCCTAGTTCTGAGACTACAAACTCATGCCTCCACCTCCAGATTTTTATATGGGTTGTAAGCATTGACATCAGGTACAGAATACTACTCTTCGGATTCATCTGTGTCTTCCTCTAACTCTGGAGATGGGTGAACAGTCATTTGGACGGTGCTTTGTGATTCTGATTCTGCTTAGCTCTGATTTGGCACTTTGCCTCTAGGTTTTATGCTTACCACTGCCTTGTGTTTGAATCCCAAGTTCCCTGGAGACATCCTTCCTTTCTTCTTGCATGCCAAGGCAGGTGGCAGGCACCCAGATGGAGATAGCGCAAGCCGCTTTTCCTTCTAGAACTCGGATAGCCGTGAGGATCACACATGTTTTGGTTGTTTCATCCTGTCTGGAAATACAGAAAGGCTCATCTTAGTGGAGGATGTCAGGTTGTCTTTGGATGAAATGGGGAAAAGACTCTTTCCTACTGAGTCAAGGGTTGATTTTTGCTCGGTGGAGGAGAAGGTCTGCTCTGTATTCATCAAGGACTTAGTAAGTCAGTGGCTTGGAAATAAAGGACGGCTCCTTCTTGGAAATACAGGTGTTACCTGCCGAGTGGAGTAAAACCAGTGACCTTCAGTCTGGTTTGTACTGTTTGCTTCCTGATTGACCTTTTTAATTCAAAGCCTTCAGGTCAGTCCAAGATTCTTCATGGTGTACTTTTAAGAAAATGCAGTGGGTTTTGTTTTGCTTTGAGACAGGAGCTTGCTATGTAGCTCACACTGACCTATAATGCTATGTAGACCAGGCTAACCTCAAACTTGCATCCTTCTGCCTCGGTCTCCTGAGTGTTGGGATCATAGGCGTGTGCCACCATGTCTAGGTTCACACATAGAAATGTATTGAAGCTCATCTGAGTTCAATTCAGCCAGGGTTAACTGAGCACCTGCGACATGCTAGGACCTCAAAAAACAAGCAACAACGAAAACGAATGGCGTCTCAGTCATAAGACACTTAGAGAAGCATGAGAAAGATGAGACAGCCATGCCATTCAAAAACGCTGGCTTGAATTTGGAATCTCAGTGTGAAAGACAGCCGTGTGAGAGGCAGGAGGCAAATGGGTCTGGATACATAGTGAGGAAACTGAGTCACAAAAGGAGGGTGGCTTCTTTATGGTCCTTCAGCCTTGACCAAGCTGAGTTCATCTTTGGGCCCTAACTCAGGAAATCTAAATGCCCTGCTGCTGAGTATTTTGTTTTATTCAGGGTGGACACCCCCAAGGCCAGAGGGGTTTGTGTGGTTTTGTGAGATCAGCCCAGGGGATATAGACCGTGTGGGCTTCTAATGTATCTGTGAACTATATATTTGTTTCCCTACAGGTCATGGATTAACAGCAGTCAAAGAAAAGGCTGGGGCAACCCTACGAATCCACAGTGCCAATTCCAGGTCTCCTGAAGGGGTCCCAACTGATGCCGACAACGGACCCTCTGAAAGTGAGTGGCGTTCACCTAGTGTTCAGGGGATTTTTATTATGCTGTGTGCACAACTGCACAGTGGGGAAAAAAAGCCCAAGTTCAGATCAGCAAAACAGATTCTAACAGGGGTCTTCTCTCTTGCTGTGACAGATGTGACTCCGGATCAGGACCCTGCCGGAAGCCCCCACCCTTCTCCTCCGCCAGGGGCAGCAGGGTCGAGGGGCATGCTGTCAGCCCTCACCAACGCGGTTCAAAACACTGTGAGTCCCGAGTTGGTCCTGTTTTCCCTAGTGGCTCATTTCTTTTGATCTCTCCATCTCGTGACCCAGATACATCAGAGAGAAGGCAGCCTTGCTCATGACTTTGGATTACAGTTTGTTATGCTGTTTTGCTACAGAGTAGGTATAACCTTGGATCTGGAATAATAAGGGCAAGATGAAAGACAGCCTGTGTTTGAAAGAAGAGAGTGATTTAGAAGAGACATTTTTTCCCCCAATCTGATTTAACAGTGTCCTTCCCAGCAGCTGCAAGGGCAACATCTGGGGTGGGGGGGGAGGAACTCAGAGCAGGGACAGTTGTTCTTCCTGGATCATGTCTCAGTTTTCTTAAAATTATGAAATCTTCTACATACAAAGAACGTGTAACAAGTCAGGAGGAATAGCCCAGAGACCCCGCCCTGCCATACTCCTGCAGCCCCTACTCTGCCCTTCCTTGCAGAACCCTAAATGTATCCCTGCAAGTCCTGCCCTTCCTGCTTATTTATTCATCTTTTGATTTTTAAAAAGACGAATACATAACCATTCTCACCCCTGAAGGAAGCTTGCTCTCCTATTGGCAACAGGACACTGATAGTGTTGAAAGGAAGCCGAGGCATCCCAAGTGAGATGGGGGAGCTAGCTGGTCCTCGGGGCCAGGAAGAAAAGACTCATTCCACTATCTAGAACAAACTAACTAGATTTCCTAAAATTTGGCTCATGTCCTTTTTAATCACTTATCTGTTTGTGACTTTGAAGAGAGGTGATTGTCCTCTGTGCGCAGCAGGAGCCAAGAGCTGGCGCCAGATTCTGTCGTGTGAAGTCAGCTCAGCAGTGGAGTGCAATGCACTATGGGAGAGAAGGGGACTGTAGATGAGCAGGGGGCGTTATCTCACACAGTTGTTAGAGGGAAGGTCTGCCAGGAGTAGAGAAAATGACTGTCCTGTACTTGCATCTCGAGACCCCTAGGCTGGGCAGGAAGAAGGAGACTATCAAGAATGTTTGAGGAGTCCTGCGGCAGAGCCGTTCAAGGGTGCCCATGGGAGTGGAGGAAGCTCACTTCGTAACTCTGGCCTAAAAACATGAAATCATGGCGTGTCATCACACCCCCCCCCCTTTTCAAATTAAATTTATTATTGTGTATGCATCTGATGGGGGAGGGGCACCTGTACCGTGATGCTCTTATGAACATGAGAGAACAACATTGTGGAGTTAGTTCTCTCCTTCTGCTTTGTGTGGCTTCTGGGTATGGAACTCAGTCTTCGGGTTCTCGCAGTACAATTGCCTTTACCGACGGAGCCATCTTGCCAGTCCTGAGCAATCGATCCATTCTTGAGTGCACCATCCACATCCTCAGCTCCCTTCCCGTGTCCTCCTGAACCTGCACTGCTTCCCACAGTCCCCACCCCCATCTGCAAGCTTGCCCTTGTCCAGCAATGCACCTATGCTTCCTGTTCTCACTTTATTCTCTGCCACCTGTCGTGGCAGGCGGTTGGGGGCCACGTAGAGCAAAGCATGGGAAAGTACGAGCTGCTGAGGAGCCACCGTCCTCTGTATTAGCTGCTTTTATCGTTGCTGGTACAAAAACACCTGGCAGAAATAAGACAGGGAAGAAGGTTTATTTTGCTTGTGGTTCGAGAGGTTTTGGCCACGGCTGCTTGGCCCCACGGACAGAACGTTGCAGGAGTAGTAAGAATACAGGGGGCTCTTTGCCTTCTGGCAGCCGGGATGCAGAGAAAGAGGAAGGATTGAAGCCCAAATATAACCTTTAAGGCACACCCCACACACACTGGCCTACTTCCTCCAATAACGCTCCAACTCCTGAAGTTTCTAGAACTTCCTCAAAGAACACTGGTAGCTGAGGACCAAGAATGTTCATGAGCCAGTGGGGAGCAGTGTGTGTGTGCCTCGGCTGTTTTAATTTCCGCTAAGAGGAAGACGGTGTCTGGCAAGGGCATTTTCCAGACTGATACCTGGCTAACAGAACAACTTCTACAGCTGGAGGTCCACGGAAGACAAGCTGTCTTCCTTCATTAATGTACTAATTATATTTGGTGTTCGCCGGTTTCCAAAAGCACGCAAGAACCATCTGAAACCGCCTGAGGCGCTGCTGCTTCGGGGCCCTGGATTAAAAAAATCATCTAAATCAGCCTGCGTATTTGACATTTTAATAACCCACCCCAAATAATACCGTTACTTATGCTAAAATTCTTTCAAACAAACAAGGCAATTGGGTCATCTGTTAATTTTTTGTCATGGATACATATCTATTGATATGCCCAGAGCTGCTGACACAAATCCCTAACGTGTACTGTTTCCCCCCCTCAGCACCATTTTTTAATAATACCACAATTATACAAGACATGCTTTTTTCAAGAAGAAAAAAAAACAGGAATTATATAAATGTTCAATCTCATGGTGTGAAAAACTTGTTTTCTATTGATTTTAATATTTGAAGAGAGTGACGGTACGTGGGAACTGCGGGCCACTGCAAAACAGCAAGCTGTAGGAAAACCTAATCTCCCGTGGTTTTCTCATTTGCAGGGCAAAAGCGTCTTAAGCGGAGGTCTGGATGCTCTGGAATTCATTGGAAAGAAAACCATGAATGTCCTCGCAGAAAGCGACCCAGGGTTTAAGCGCACCAAGACGCTGATGGAGAGAACCGTTTCCTTGTCCCAGGTTGGACTAGATAGATCCTCTATCGATTTTTCTCCTTTCAGCCAATAAAGTCAAAGCACGTGTTCAAACTTAAGTGGCACAAAAAGTAGAAAGAAAGCTAAGTTTCTGACACACTCCACTGAAATCCCCATGGGGAGCAAGCACGGTTAATGGTCCCCTGTGCACGCAGTCAGTAAACACAGACATTGTGATAAATACGCATTTGGATATAGGAGTTTGCATGTTGCTGTGCATATAGATGGAACATATGTGCATGCGCACACGCGCTCTTGCTCTCTCTCACCAAAGGGCAGCGTATTACTCACACTTGCATACTTATTTATTTAGTAATCTGTTGAAGATTTTTTCCATGCTTTCCAGCTCTGTGCCTCAGTTTATCCCCTGTGCGACGAGGTGACAGCAATACTTCCTAATAACTATGTTGTGACAGTTACATGAGCTAGCCCAGAACCTGATAAGACACACATATGTACATACATGTACAACTTCTGTTCCAGGTAAGATGATGATGATGTTGGAGCAGTAAAACTTGAGTCTAAAATCTGGCAAATTCTAGCTATTTTTGTTGTAAGATGAAGAAGGGGCCTGAGTTCCTTTCCCAAACTACCATACTTTTTTTGGTCACAGCTGCAGGCTAGCTACATTTAAAAGGTTGCACCGTGCAGGGAAATGTGCTGCTCAGCACCCACAAAGGCCAGCAAGGACGCTACAGTTGAGAGAGTGAGCCACAATGGGAGTTGTCAACGATGAGAGCAGGGTGCAATGGCTGCAGATGTTGGCGCCTCGTGGAGGGCACTTGCAGGGCTGTCAGTGAGCTGGGGGAGGAGGGTGACAGGAACTGACCTGGGCTCAGAAAGGATCACTGTGGCTGTTCTGGTGCAAAGAGAGCGGTGGAGGGAGGGCCTAGGACAGGGAAGCCTTTCAGCCGGTGGATCGCTCTTGTTCCTCACAGAGTAGATCATGAGGTGGGCTGAGATGTTCAGGGAGTTACTATCTGAGAGAAAACAGGCAGGAAGCTTCAAAGGCCTGGGAGGACCATCAGAGCAGGTTCCTGTCAGATCCCCAGTGAAGGAGGACCAATGGGGCCTGGGAGAACCATCAGAGCAGGTTCCTGTCAGATCCCCAGTGAAGGAGGACCAATGGGGCCTGGGAGAACCATCAGAGCAGGTTCCTGTCAGATCCCCAGTGAAGGAGGACCAATGGGGCCTGGGAGGACCATCAGAGCAGGTACATATCAGAGCCCCAGTGATGGAGGACCAATGGGGCCTGGGAGGACCATCAGAGCAGGTTCCTGTCAGATCCCCAGTGAAGGAGGACAAATGGGGCCTGGGAAAACCATCAGAGCAGGTTTATGTCAGAGCCCCAGTGAAGGAGGACCAAAGGGAAGACTGGGTGGAAGTGTGCCAGATTCCACACAGCTTAAGAAGCTTTGGAAAGGGCATGGGTCCTCTGGGTATTGTCAGCTAAAGCCAATAGGACGACCCCCTACCCCAGCCTCCAGTGCTCTGAGGTCAGGGCGGCTGCTGAGTTTTATTACAAGTGTTAAACCTTCCCAGTGATGGTTTCACTGGGTTATTTTGAAAACCTTAACAGTCAGAATATTACTAATTTAGTCCTCAAGAGAGACAGGAGAGAGAATTCCTTCCACGGCCTAGTGAGTTCTTGGCTAACAACCTTAAGAACCCAAAAGGAAAATGAGGCTGCCTGTTTTATTGGCACATAATAAACACCAGCCTCTATTCCTGGATGATCTTCCCCCTGTGACCTTGTGGCCTTGGCCTGTATATTTATGGGCTCTCTGCAGATATTAAAGGACTCCATAAACTTAATGTCCTTGTAAACTTAATGAGAAATCAAATAAAAGATGCCTAGCACCAAAGCAAGCAAGTGTAGAATATTGTTAATAATGGATAGCCTCCATTCTGTCATCTTTGTATTTAAACAACAAAATAACTGGAGGGGTTGGGGGTGTCTCTTATTTAGTATGCACAAGGCCTGGGTTCCATCCCCAACACTGCAAATGTAGGTGATAGGAGGGAAGGGGAAGGAAAGTGAAGGGAGAGGAGAGGAAAGAAGAAAAGAAGGGCACTGAGGAAGGAAAGACAGATGTTATTAATGTGAATGAAAATTCAGCCCAAAAAAATAAGCCGATTTCTATTTGGTGTTCATTTGTTAACTCTTTTCATTGAAGATGCCCCATGCTTCCTCCATGGAAATTTGTAAAAAATGTAACAGGAAACTCAGGCCAGCCTCTTTCTGTTTTGAAATCTACCTGGACAGAGAATTCTCAGTAAGATAGCAAAGAATTGGCATTTCCCAGTGTCAGGCTAACTGTGGTGCTGTTTGCATACCAAAGTGCATGCTGGCCTCCAGGCACACTCAGTACCTGTGGCTCCTCTCAGCAGCTCTTCTCACCCCACCTCCCTACCCTATACCCCAAAACTTCTTCAGCCTGTGGGCTTCCCTTCCTCCAGTTTCTCATTCCTGTATAACCCCGCCATTTCTGCAAAGCTCTTTTTCCTCTTTCTTGCTCTCTCTCTCTCTTTCTCTCTCTCTCTCCTCTTTGCTGTCTCTCTTTCCTTCCTCTCTCGCTCTCCCCGTCTCTCTCCTGTCATGGCTGCATTCAGTCTACCAGCCGGCCATGTTTGTCTGTTACTCCCTCTCCTGGCTCTGGACCTGTCCACTGCCTCTGGCAGTTCTCTCTCTCATATCTACAGTAAACCCCTTCTCCTCAGCCATCCCTTGGAACAGTCATTTCCTCACTTTATATGTCCAGTGCACTGAAAACTGTCAGTATAGAAAGTGTGGACACTTGAGAAAAGAATCAACCACGTGGGAGAAGACCTCAGTGGGCAGCAGCAGAGCCCCTGTGTGCTTTCTTTTGCTCTTACTCCTAGGCTCGGAGGCTTGCTTGGCTTGGCTCAGAGGAGAAATGAAACAGAATAGGTAAACATTAGTAAACAGTATCAATCGTGTATCTATTTACCATTCTTTTAAAATGTATATTTTAAATAAAATATAATTACATTGTCTTCCCCCCTCCTTTTCCTCTCTTCAACCCTTTCCATGGGCCCCTTACTCTCTCTCAAATTTGTGGCCTCTATTCTCTTAACGTGTGTGTGTGTTTCCTTAATTACTGTAACGTGTGCATGTATATAATTTCGAAGCATATAAACATAACCTGTTTAGTCTGTATAAAGTTACATATATGTATATGTTTTTAAGCTGACCATTCGGTTTGGGATACTTGGGGGCCCTTCCCTGGGAAGACTATCTCTCAGCATTCCTTAGTTGCCTATAGATTTTTGCATAGGGTTGAGGCCCCACTAGCTTCCCCCCTTCACATTAGCATATCCATTGGTGTTGTCTTTGTTCATGTCTTGTTTCAGTAGCCATTGTGATGAGACTTCATGGGGAACCTGAAAACCTCCTCCCTGAGGACTAGTTTTTTATGGTAACAGAAGGCACCATGCAAGCCTCCAAGGAACAAGAGCCACCCATAGTCCTAGCCAGTTCTGATGCCCATGAACTAAAGCAATGACCAGCATGGGGAAGGGTGTAATAGTGGCACAGATACCTAGGCAGTAACCATCAGCTTTCTAATTAGACCCAATGTCCTCTCAACAATAGGGAAAGTATACCTAGTACTGGAAACCAAACCACTCACCCAGAGCTAGTGAGGTCATGGGGGAGAACCCACTACCACCTACTCACAAAGAATCATTTTGAGAAATTCCAAGTGATAATGGTGATTTTTCAGATAATGTCCATCTTCCCCACCACCTCTTTATCTTGCACAGGAAGGCAGCGTGGAAGGAGCTGTCTAGTACATGACCATTGTGTCTCTGCAGATGCTGAGAGAGGCCAAGGAGAAGGAGAAGCAGAGGCTGGCCCAGCAGCTCACAGTGGAGAGGACTGCACACTACGGGTTGCTTTTCGATGAATATCAAGGTTTGTCACACCTGGAAGCCTTGGAAATTCTGTCCAATGAGAGTGAGAGCAAGGTACATCCACATGGGTCATTTGAACAGCCTTATTGGGTGATGCGTTTCCTTAGCAAAACAACATGTTTTCTCACCTCGTGACTTATGCTGAGGTCTCACGTGCTGTCCAGCTTCATGTCCCCTCTAGCCACTTACGGTTTCCTCTCTGCCCTGTGCTCACCTGTTATTCTACCCAGCCCAGAAGGCTTACTACCCCTCCTCAGGGCAGAAAAGGCTGCTCTTAAACTTGCCAGCCAGGCCCTCTTTTTGGCGATCTCATTCCCAGATCAGAGATCCCTCACCAGCCCATGCCTTTATTCTACCCAGTGAAGACAGAATGGCTTGTATTTCTGTTAGACTGTGGACCTCAAGTGTGTGTTGTTTCGTGAGTTCGGTGTTACTTATTTGGTCACCTTCATCAGAATATCTGGGTCAAAAAAGACAAAGCCATCCCTTCCCTCCAAGACCTATTTGAAAATGCTCCCACTGAGAAACCTATAAAGCCTAGATCACCAAACAGACAGCCCTATATGTTGAGGGAGCTACGGGTTGCTGTGTTCCTGCCACCCAGCTCCCGGCCGACTGGCTAGCTTATGCCCCAAAATAACGACACAGAAACTGTATTCATATAAACACTGCTTGTCCCATTTCTATTAATGTGTGCAGCACCATGAGGTGCGCTTACCAGGAAGATTCTAGCCTACGTCCATCCTGGGTCGGAGCTTCATCGCATCTGCCCTGGAGAGAGCAACATGGCGTCTAGCTCACTTCCCTTCTTCCCAGCATTCTGTTCTGTTTACTCCGCCTACCTAATTTTCTGTCCTATCAGGGCCAAGGCAGTTTCTTTATTTAACCAATGACCTTCCTCCATCACCTATACATTCATACTCTCCCACGTGAGGCCAGGAAGATGATTTGCTGTGGATTGGAGGCAAGGCTAGGCTTCATGAGACTCTGTCTCAGGAAAGAAGCCAACCGTGCTAGCGGGATGGCTCCACGGGCAAAGGCACGTGCTGCCAAGCCTGACTACCCGGGTTCAATCTCCAGGATGCCCAAGGTGGACGGAGAACTGATTCACACCTGCAGGCTGTCCTCTGACCTCTGTGAGCACACACAAATAGAATTTAAAAATTAAACTATTAAAAAAAGCAAGCGAGCAAGCAAAAACACTGTTGAAGGATAATTTTTTAAAAAAAAATGAAACAAAAAGATGAAAATCATGACTCATACTGATACAAAATAAGCACCCAATAAAGATCTTATTTAGTTCATTAATTAAATGAGGAAAACAGGCAGGTGTTATGGCCAGCTGTAGAGAAAACCAGAGAAAGAATGTTGAATCATAGTTGCAAATAGACCCAAGCTTGCCAACGGGCGGGGGGAGGGGGGCAGACTGCCCTCCGCCTGCAAAACTCACCTAAAATCCGGCTGTGTGTCTGTAAAGAGACGGGTTCGCACTGCCATCAGCCTTAAACAATTTGCACAGTAGTAAAATTGCTCCCTACATTCAGAATCTCATAATCCGGTAAAAATAAAAATGCAATTTCCCACCAAAGCACAAAATTCTCCCCATGAAAGCTGAGTCTGGAATCAGCCTTTATGTGGTTATACATCAATTTGAGGCTGTGGGAATCTGGACCTCTCTTCTTGCAATCTGCTTGACATGACGATGATGGTAAAACCCTCCTGGCAGGATTTCAAAAGGGATTCCGTGAGATAGCCTGCGAAAGAGCTCGTAGTGGCGTGACTGGTACAAATAAGGTGCTCAGTAAATGCCAGCTGCTGCTTAGCGCGCCCACGGGTTTGAGTAAACATAGTGTTGATGGCTTTGTATTTTACATGCGCTCTGATGCTCTAAATATCTGTTGTTGTTATTATTTACAACATTACAGGAGACTGGCCCCTACCCTGACAATAATAGAGAGGTTGCATTCTGGTTGGTTCCATCACAGACCTCAGTTGCAAAACAGCCCTTGGGTTCTTCAAACAATCCTCCTGCTTCAGCCTCTTGAGTGCTGAGATTACAGGTGTGAATTTCAAAAGGTCCTATCCATGAGGAGTTGGCCACCTCGCTCTGGGCCATACAGCGAGACAGCACAAGAGAGTGGAACGACCCACTCACTCAGGCCCAGGAAGCAAAAGAGAGGAAGAGGCCAAGGCCTCACAGCCCCCTCCAAGGATAGGTCTCCAGTGGCCTAACATCTCTCCCTGCCCCCACCCACAAAGGCTTTACCACCTTCCAGTAACTCCAAGCTAGGGAGCAAGCCTTCAACTCAGGGGCCTTTGGGGAACGTCCCAGAGGGGATCATATCTTCCCTTTGTGAATTGTTTCCACAAGCTTTGCTTTCTTTCCCCAGCCTGGAGCTTTCTGTGACAGTCAGGGAGCAATGCAGAACTCGTAAAATGTTCTGAGTGGTGCTGTCATAAGCAGTCCTACAAATCTATGTGAAAACCAGCAGAAGTCGTTTTCACTCCTGTGGCAGCCCAGAACGGAGAACCTGGTCAGCAGGCGGCTTCCTATACTCGGGGGTTAGATTAAAGGACACAGGCCCCCAACAGGAATACAAGCAGAAGCCCTTATCGAGGTCTTCAGGCACAGCTAATGACACACTGTGGCTACCAGAGATGTATTTATAGCACAGTGACTGAGGGTGATGGAAATGCACATATTCCGAAATTGCTGGAAAAATAAACTTGAAACATTCTCACCACAACGATGGCGTGAGGCAATGTTTCATAGATGCAGTCACTGGCATGATGCACCCAGGGTGTGCACATGTCGGGTCACCACGCTGGGCCCCATAGATACAAGCATGGTGACATGGGCCTGAATCCCAGCCATTGAGGAGCCTGAGGCAGATTGGCTTCAAATTCGAGGCTTGTCTGGGTTACAGCGCGAGTTCAAGGCCAACCTTGAAAACCTAAGGAGACTCTGTCTCAGATTAAAAGTGGATGAAAAGAAATTTTAAAATGATGGAGGATAAAGCTCAGGGATAGATCATGCACAAGGTCCTGGGTTCAGTCCCTAGCACTGAAAAGAAGTTATTTAAATTCAATCTAAACTTAAAAATAAGGGCCAGCAAGATGGCACATCGGGTGCAAGCACTTGCTGCCAAGACTGTGACCTGAGTTTGATCCCTGGAACCCACAGGGCAGAGGGAGAAAATCTCTGCTCTTTATGTGCGCGCGCACACACACACACACACACACACACACACACACACACACACACTAAACATGTGAGAAATAAAGTGAATAAGAAAAGGGTTTCAGGCCTTTGTAGTTTGGAGGGAGGTAAAGGGCTTACCTACCATATGTGGGATCCTGAGTTCAAGTGTCAACCACTTGGAAAACAGACAGTAGGAAAAAAACCTCACAGGATGACTCCCTAAAATCGAACTCCCAATAAATACATCCTACAAATTATTCGAGACACACTTATACTAAGAAAATAATCATTGCGTGTCTGAAACACAAATTTAACTAAGTTGCCTATATTTACATGTGTAAGGCTCCAACTGTCTTTTGCCTCAAACTGCTGTGCACGGGTAAGGGAGATACCATTGTTCCAGCTCCACCCACATCCCCCTGCAAGCACCTGCCTCTAGTCATCACCTGGGTTCACACTGGCCTCAACACAACTCAGGAAAGAGACCCTCTCAGTAACCTGGAGGGCACTCTGGAAGAGGAAGCATCCCGTGTGTCCTGTGGACTCCCCTGTGTCCAAGTCTAAAAGGAGTATTGGATGGCACCATTCTCTAGTGCTTTATGGTCTTCTGAGTCCCATTAACCCGAGGAAGTAGAGAGGACGCTGCCATTCGAAAGCTGTGGACAAGAAAGGACACTCATTATGTCCACTGTTATTTCATTTACTGAGATTCAGGCACAGAAAGGAAAAAGGAAGGCAGGAAGAATTGGTGTTGGAGAAAGGGCTCAGTGGTTAAAAGTGCCTACTACATAATCATGAGGACTGGGGGTCAGACCTTAACACCCACATAACAACATAACAATTCATGCACACCCACACCACACCGTCGTCATGCACACACATCGTCATCATGTACACACACACTACACCACACCAGCATGCACACAGTCATCATGCACACACACACCACACCATCATCGTGTACACCCACACCACACCATCATCATGCACACACACACACCACACCTTCATCGTGCACACCCACACCACACCATCATCATGCACACACACACACATATCACACCGTCATTGTGCACACCCACAACACACCGTCGTCATGTACACCCACACCACACCATCATCATGCACACACACACACATCACACCGTCATTGTGCACACCCACACCACACCGTCGTCATGTACACCCACACCACACCATCATCATGCACACACACACACCACACCATCATCATGCACACACACACACCACACCTTCATCATGCACACCCACACCACACCGTCGTCATGCACACACACACACCACACCTTCATCGTGTACACCCACACCACACCATCATCATGCACACACACACACCACACCTTCATCGTGCATACCCACACCACACCATCATCATGCACACACACACACCACACCTTCATCGTGCACACCCACACCACACCATCATCATGCACACACACACACCACACCTTCATCGTGCACACCCACACCACACCGCCGTCATGCACACACACACACACACACACACACACATCACACCATCATTGTGCACACCCACACCACACCGTCGTCATGTACACCCACACCACACCATCATTATGCACACACATATCACACCGTCATTGTGCACACACACACACACACCACACCTTCATCGTGCACACACATATCACACCTTCATCATACACACACACAATATTAAATAGGATCAGATTGGTTCTAAGCCAGACCCGGCAATGTGATACATAATAAATGTGAAAAATGAATCATTTTGTCTCCATTACACTCGGTTGCATTTTTTTCTCATGGATACCCTGTGTACCCTCGTGTGACCTGAACAATACTCTACCTAGTACCAAGCAGTCAGTCAGCATTCCTTTAGTATTGAAGAATGCATGATTATTTATTATTTATTCTTGAATCCGACCACAGTTCAGTGCACATCACTGTGGCCCAATGGGGAAACAGAGCATAGTAAAAGGAAGGCTCTCAGAAGGCCAAGGCCAGAAGGACTGGCCAGGAGCCACAGAGCAGGGCACATTGGCTGCTACCTGCCGAACTGCATGGCTAATGGGCTTCGTGTTGATTTCCTGCCAAGCGTCCTCCAGAGCCTTGGGCAGGCACCCAATGATGTGCTTAAGCACTCAGGAAAATGGAGTCTGTCAGCCTGGATGCTCTGCCTGACTCTTAGCCTGGTGTGTTGATCTACTGCCCCATGAACACTGCAACCTAACCCAGGGAGGACTGAGCTCCCTCCAGCATCTGACTTGCAAAATGAAAACATAAAAACTTACAGCCTTACCTCATTTTCTAATATGATATTTCATGCCCCGTGACCAATCTGGAAATTCAAATTAGTCTTCAGAGGATGGCTGGCCATCTGTACTTTTTTGAAGTATGCACAGAGGGTACTGTCAGAAGAGAGACTCCGAAGGGGAGCAGGGGCGAGGTCAGTCCTCTTCTCCCAAGCTCTCCCTGCCCAGCTCCTTAGCCCCCTCCCCAAGGCAGAATGACCCTGCTGTGCCCTTCCCCCACATCTATTCAGGCTGAAACCCGTAGATTTGGGCTTCTTCCTTCTTCCACAGCAGAGGTTCTCATCCTTTCTGATGCTGTAACCCTTTAATACAGCTCCTCAGGTTGTGGTGGCCCCCAACTATATAATTATTCCACTGCTACTTCCTGACTGTAATTCTGTGACTGTTATGAATCGTAATATCAATATCTAATATTCAGGATATCGGATACGCGGCCCACAGTTTGAGAAACTGCTCTAGACTCTTAGCTCTCAGAAATGGAAAAAGTGTCTTGGGCATTTTTGTAAACTTAGTGTAAGTCTTGTCTAATAAGAACTTATGTGGCTGTGTGTGTGTGTGTGTGTGTGTATGTGTGTGTATTTGATATTTCATTTATTGAGCATCATAGGTGTTAAGCCAGTTCTTTTGCTTTAATGGTCAAGGTGACCTTGTAAGATAGATATACACAGCCCCTACTTCATAGATAGAGCCAAGTCATAGGAATATAAATTATACAGGGTCAGCAATTAGTGAGTGAGGAACTGATATTTGAGCTGTCTGGAGGTCAAAGTGTGTTTTAACCACTATCATAAATGGTTCCAACCCCCATTGACCGGTGCCATTTGCTTCATATTTGTTCTTTATCGCACAAACGACCATAAGGAAGTGCGGGTCCTGCTTTAGGAACGAGATAATTAGTCCCGCGTGGCAACTTGTTCCTATAACAGTAGTTCAGAAACTGAGGCAAGAGGAGCTCAAGTTCAAGACCGGCCTGGACCTTAAAGTCAATTCAAGGCCAGTCTGGACTATATACTGAGATGTAATAGGAATAGGAAAGGAATGAAAAGCCTGAGGCCCAGGGAGCCGATGCTCTGAATGGGCGGGTGCAGAGCCAACTCTCCCTTACCTCCCGCACCGCTGCTCTCTCACTTTTCTTGAGAAAACTGGAGACAGGCAGGTGGATCTCTGTGAGTTCGAGGCCAGCTTGGTCTGTGTTCACGAGAAGAAACGATGACACTTAAGATGACCTATTTTTTTTTTCCAGGTTCAGTCATTTTTAGCATCGCTGGATGGAGAGAAGCTAGAACTCTTGAAAAAAGACCTAATTTCTATCAAAGACATCTTTGTAGCCAAAGAATCAGAGAGTGAAGCAAGTCCAGAAGAACAAGGTAAAGAGACATAAACACCAAGATAAACCCATGGGACGCAGTTGCTGGGAAAACAGCCCTTTGAACTGGGTTTACTTAATTCAGGTGCTCGTCTTGAACGCCCTGTGCAGCTGTTGTGGGTACCTGGGCTGGTCACAGGATAGCCCTCTCTTTGCTGAGCAGGAGCCCCATCCTTTCTCTGCATGGTTCCTGGCTCGTCACCAGCCCACAGTAAATGCAGAAAGTCAAATGACGAGAGCGCAGTTGGCTGGGCCTAAATGACTATCGTGGACGTTGCACTTCCTATTCCGCGTGTTGATGTTGTAGGCTGCAACTGATGACCCTGGTGCATAAGTCTTGATAACTTTGTTATTCCTTTTCATCCCTGTGTGGAGGAGTTGTGCGTTTACGTGTGTCCCGTGTGAATACATGGGACGTGGAGATCTGAATAGTACAGTTCTGGTGTAGGAGGCTGGTAGCTTAGCAATACAACAGTACCTAGCCGTATGAGAACCCGAGTTCAGTTCCCGGCACCACACAAGAAGTACAGTTCTGCCCTGGTTGTGCCATTTTCTCCAAGTGCCCCAGGATGAGGTGTTTCAAGTTGAAGATCACGGAGTGAGTGAGTGAGGTATACACATCTCGACAGCCTTCCGCCTTGTCTTAGTTGCTTTTCTATTGCCATGAAGAGACACCATGATGAAGGAAGTTTATGAAAGAAGGCATTTAATTACAGTTTCAAAAAATTGGTCCATGACCACTATGGTGGCGAATGTGGAGGCAAGCAGATAGGCATGGAGCTGGAGCAGAAGCTAAGAACTTACATCCTAATATTTAGGAGAGAGAGAGAGAGAGAGAGAGAGAGAGAGAGAGAGAGAGACTGGGCCTAGCAAGGACTTTTGAAACCTCAAAGCCACCTCCCAGTGACACACCTCCTCCTCCAACAAGGCCACACCTAATTCATCCTAAACAGTCCACAACTGGAGACAGCATTCAAATATATGAATCTATGCGGCCATTCTCATTCAATCCCCCACACCCTCAGAAGTGACCTGAACCCACAGGCATCCAGCGCCTATGTAAGAGAAGCAAGGCTTCTTTTAAGAAGAGATCAGAATTCTCAAAGTTGGCCATTACCAGTTACTACACTGGTACACTGGTCATTACTTGGGAGAGGAATAGAATCAAGCATTTGCTGTATACAGTGCCTTCCTACAGATATGACAGTTATAGGCACCATACCACAGGGGCCCCCTGGAGTTTGTGCCAATGGTCATAGCAAGCGCAGGTACAAGGTTAGCTGCTTCTAGGACCAATAGAAAATCCCACTGGAAACCTTTCCAGTAATTTCTTGAACAAGTTCCCTGGCCCTGATGAAAGGAGTATATATCTCTACTACATCCTGGAGACAATGCTGCATAGTCCAGGACCTGTCAGAGGCTCAGAGTAAATACATACATAAAAACATTACGGATCTTGGCATACAGAACTGCTCAAATACATTAGCTGGTGTTATTGTTGTGCAGTGTGTCAACGCAATGCCAGGGAGACTGGGGAGTCAGAGTAAGTTGCAGCTTTTATTCATCATTGTACCTGTCATGCCCTACCATGCAGAGTGGTGACAATACGCATTCACACTGTCACCGTCAAGTCACGGAAACGTTTTGTTCCCAGATGCAGTTAGTCAAAGCTCAAACACAAAGGCTTTGGGGACCCAAGATAAACCTATAGATGCCCCTTTCCAGCCCTAACCATCACCCCAGTCAGGCTCTTCTTCAAGCTCATGATACGTGAGTTAGATCTTGATCCTGCTGGCGTGACATTCAGAAAGGATTTTTAAAAATGGACCCCAGAGCTGAGGAGAGGGCTCAGCCGATAGAGTGCTTGACAAAATCAGTGACATACTCTTGTAATCTCAGCTGGGAAGAGGTGGCAGAAGCAAGCTTGTAGGCCAGCTAGTCTGGCCTCTGCCTCTTCCTTGAAGTTCCTGGCCAGTGAGAGACCTGGTCTCCAACAACATGGGAAAGACCCCTGAGGAATGAACCAGTGTTGTCCTCCGGCCTCTCCAGGCATGCTGTATGCACATAGCCACAGCCACGGATGCATCCACACCCACACTGGGACACATGGACGCACACACACATGCACACCCACAACTCCATGTTCTCATAGACATCAGAGACGTTGTTGCTAATGCAGAGTGAAACCACACCGCTTCTTGTCAATGCCGCTCCTTAGAGAGGAGACTTGAGTCTGTACTGCTGAAAGAAAATGTCGCCACAGGCAACGTGGTATGTTCTCATACTACAGAGCCTCATTCCGTAAATTGAGATTCTTGGATTTCACACACAGACACGTAAGCACGCACATGCACTCATGCGCATGCACACACACCGAAGTGCTAAATGTCATATTTTGAGAAAATTGGGGGCTGGAAGGTGGAGAGATGGTAAATTTGTCTCTCTTTCCATGACAAAAGCCTAGTAGCTCCTGTAATAGATCCATTTTCCCCAAAGGGCATCTCCAGATGATCAAAACACTATTAATTTTCATTAGCTTAATTTAATAAATAAATGTCATTCAGACTCTTAATGAGGCTCTGGGAGAGACACCAGAGGTGTTGTAGAACCAACCCCATCCCGTGGCGTGTGACAGCTCCAAGAGGCTGGAGGGGTTACCCAAAATCCAGGAGGGTGGAGGAGTTACCCAAACACACGGGAAAGGAATCTTACCAGTGGAATGTGAAAAAAATTCCAAGAACAAAATTCTGGCAGAAATCTAAGCATTTTTACCAGGTTCCTTTTGTTGTTGTTGTTGTTGTTGTTGTGATTTTTTTCTTATAAATGCACTTATATTCCTAAAAGCCTTTAACAACTAAATAATTTATTTGGTAGTCTCGGGAAGTATAATAATAAACTGTCATCTTCTAGATATATTTAACATTGGGCTTCCTGAACACTAAATAACACTGGCTCATGGTTTGCACGCCTGTCTTTCCGGCACAGTGCAGGCTCATCAAACGGCATGGCTCTCTAATTTGCTTTACCGTGACTCTGAGGAGAATTTAAAAGTCCATTTTCTGTTTTTATTGCCTTGGGGAAATTCTTTTGGCCATGTATACAGGCCGAGAATAGCAGTAATAGTCTTCGTGGCAACATTTATTTTCATCTGCTTTTATCTATTTATTTCTAGTGATTTTTTTCCCTTCTGAAATACATGCTAAAAGTTACTGGTATATGTCTAGTCGAATTGATGCACATTTAAAAGCTGGACCCGCCTGAAGTACTTGTGTTCTGATTTACTGTGGATTCCCACCAAGTGTATTTAACCTTGTGTGTCCATGTCAGTGTGGTGCATGACGGTTCCTTTACATAGTTTTCCACTTTTACAAAACAACTCAACAAAGTTGCGTTTGGCTCTTATAGTAACTAAAGCGGGAAGGATGGGATTGCCGTAATGCAGTGGCAGGATGCTTGCTTAGCGTGGGTAACTCTCCAAAAGAACAAAATAAAATTTACAAAAGGACTGAGGGTGAGTTTGATTATCCCCAGCTAACGGGGTGTGGGGCATGGGGGAACAGGAAGTGGTAAGCTGAGGCAGTCTGGTGGCTGGTTTCCTGCCCCAGAGGCTAAGGTATGGGCTGGGGTGGAAGCCAGGTGTAGGCCTTAGCCAAGGGCTCCTGCACCGCAGAACGGCCTCACGCAGGCCTTGTGGAATCTCCCTTCCTTCCTCTCGCTCCTTCCTCCCCCTTCTCACCCTCCCTTCCCACCTCCGCTCCTTGGCTAATGGAGTCTCGTTCTCATTTCTCTCCAAGCATCGCCCAGGAAGCTTTCTCCACACTCCTGCTCTGAGAAGCACAGTACAGAGGAGCACTTCCCTTCCTGGCTAAAGAGTTTTCCCCTCCTTGCCTCATCCTGAAGCTCTGTCTACCCCCAGGACACACATCTCACCTCTGGCCTCCTTAGTGTCCCCTGAACTTTGACAGGCACATTCCCTGCGACTGCCAGGCTGCAAGGCTGTGCCTCCCCTGACCTCTGAGGCTGTCAGGTGGTGGCTGCACCAATTCCATCTTTCCCCTTTTAGTTACCATATGAACCGAACACAACAATGTTGAACTGTTCGCAAAACTTGAAAATTCAGGTGAATGAGTTCTTATGTACCACACTGACAGGAACACACAAACACTAAGTGTGTTTGGCGGGAATTGATGCTAAATCAGAACAGAAATGCTTCAGGAGGGTCCAGCTTCTAAGTGTGCGTCCGTTCTTCATAGCTTCCTTCCCTCCTTCCTTCCTCCCCCTATCTGTTCAGGCCCCCACAGCAAGCGCCACAGTGCACCTCATAAACAGCAGGGACTTTTTCTCATGGTTTAGACGGATTTCTAAGATCCGGGTGCTGGCAGATCTGGTGTTTAGGCGGGGTCCATCTCTGGACCACAGGCAGGGTCCTCTAGCTATGTCCTTCCATGGGGGCACAGGCCAACCAGCTTTCTGGGAACTCTTTCAAAGGACACTAATCTATTCCCAAGAATGCCATGGTGCCATGACCTAAAGCCCCGGCTGCTCATAATAACACCCCTGGTGATGAGGTGTCAACACGAGCTCTAGGGACTCACGAACATTCAGAGTAAAGCTCTTGCTATAGTCTGGGAACTGGGCTCAGCTCCAGCCATCCGTCCAACATCCTCTTCCGACCTCCACTGACCTCCATGGGTACCAGGCATGCATGTGGTACACATACATATATGCAAGCAAGCACTCATATGCATAACAATAAATAAATATTTTAAAGTTTTGTAATAAAGTTCCTAAGTTATAGCCACCCCTAGCCTTCTCCCATGGTTTATACTTCTACATAAAATTCACCACTTGACATAAATGTTTTGTTTATCCATTTGTTTATTGACCTGTCTCCCTTGTGAGAATATAGATCATAATAAACAGATCAACGATAAACATTTTGAGCAGACCCACAGGCCCCCCTGGCTATCTTTATGAGCTGCCCATGAACCATTTTTCTATAAAGCTGAAACTAACGTATCCTGGCAAGTGTGAGGTACAGTGTTTCTCACATGACTTAGCCTTCCCCAAAGGTACGCCTGGGTTCTGGCGTGAGCCTGGGTGCGTTCTTCACAGAGGGCTTTGCACACATACCATCAGGCCAGATTACTTTTATTCTCCCCCACAAGGGAGCTGATAAACCCATTATGGAGTCAGTACTTCAGCACCTGCCTGAAGGTTTAAGATGGCTTTGTCTTGAAGTCACAAAGGAGAGAAGGATACTGCAACTTTTAAAGCTCTTTGTTGCGTTTTCCTACCAGGAATATCTATTTTCATTTCATGATATATGACTATACTATATAACAAATATCATGTGATTATTGTATTGTAGACATATGATAAATACTGTATCATCAAGGTGATATTTTCTTTAGCATGTACTATGTTCCAGTCACTGGGTTAGGAATGAGTTAAAGTCCTCTCTGTCCTTAGGTAGCTTGCAGTCTGAAAAAATAGATCATTAAAATTATTAGAATGCCACTTAGGTATCCTAGGGAACCATGGGAAATTTCTCCAGAGAGAGGATGTTACATCAGAGTACACACCCAGCTGAGAATTCTGCTCACTCAGCCCTGTGGCCCGTCCTCAGCAGGGCACCCTGGGCATCATCAGAGTTATAGCCTGAAGCCTAGCAACACTCTGGGCAGCAGGCCTCTCAGGCCTGACATGGGTCGTGCATCTGTCTGTCCTCTTATTCTTTTGCCAACTAGCCATGGGCCACTAGAGCTGTGGTCCCAAAACGCACAAGGCCTCTCCCTACCCTCTGTGGTGTCTGAGCCAGCCTAGGGGTGCCCTGGTGCCAGAGGCCTGCAGCTAGGCCTTGGCAGCCCTCTCCAGGCAGCCTGCCGCTTCCCTGCCCTGCTCACCAGTGGAAGACATGACATCCATCTTCCCAGGCAGCCCCAGGGCACACTGCCACAGCCTCTCCTTAGTCTACCCCACGTACAGGCTGCAAAGTCAGGAGAGCTGCCACATTCTGAAGGATGAAAAATAAATAAATCACGCTTCTTACTTCTGTCGTGTTCTATTTCTAGGCCTAGAAGAAAAGGGCGAAGAATTTGCTAGCATGCTTACCGAACTCCTGTTCGAATTACACGTCGCCGCCACACCTGACAAACTCAATAAGGTCAGAACCAACCCATTCTGTGCCTTTGGTTTCAAGGGGCTTGGGGAGGTAGGGTCTCAGTTGTAAGATTCCGCAGAAATGGAAAAACACCAAACCCCTCTGGCACCGCCGCGGGAGGGGAGTCTGAGGTCAGTAATTAGTATCTGAGGGGCAGCGTGATGTCTGCGGGAATTCTGGGACCTGCCTTCTGTAATTTTACTAGTGATTATCTGTGACCTTGAAAAAGTCCGTTAATCTCTCACAGTGAAATAGAAATTTCTGTCAGAGGACAGTTGTCATCAAAGGGAGGTGGAGGGGAATCACCAGGGGCCTTTTCCAGACTCTACTCTTTGCCCTGCCTCTTAAAGAGACAGGCCAGTTTTGAGAATTGAGTCATACCTCTCCTCCCACCAGGGCTGCTGCTGCTGCTGCTGCTGCTGCTAGAACTGTCTGAGGACGGTCCAGCTTTGGCGGTCCAGCTTCCTTTAACACCACAGTGCATTTTGCAAGTTAGTACAGGGTCTTGCTGTGGGGTTTCCTATGAAGACACTGAACATTACTTACTCAGAGTTATATAATGGTTTTTTTCTCTCCTTTTCTCTTACCTTATCTAGCAGAGGTTTGTATAGCCACTCACCTATTCCAATGCGTGAAGAAAGGGCAGATGAGGTATAGAGGTGGCAGATGAGTAATTTCTTTCTCTCTGTCAGGGGTCCCTGATCTGGCAGCTCGGGGACTCGAACACTGGGAAATGGCCGCATTCGTCTCCTTGCAGCACCTGGCACTGCTCGGAGAGGAGCGTGGGGGACTTCTCAGTTGCGAGGGTCAGCCTTTATTCCCAAAAGAGGACGTTTTAGGATGCCTCTCCCCTAATCTCCTAGCTCTTAAATTCCCGCCCCCCCAACATTCTGACCTGTTAAGCTTGGACGCATAGGCTTTACAGTGAGTAGTTCAGCGTCAGATGAGTGACAGCGTCTACTTAAGCAAACGGCGTGAAGGATCCAATGAGCCCTGGGTGAGGCTGACCTTTCTCTGAATTCTGGAAGCCACAGACCGGACCGGGGAGATGGTTTCTGCAGCTTCCAATTCGCCACGATTTTGTGGGTCATGGGTTGTTTATGCTGCCCTCCTGGTAGAGGTTGGAGGGCCTGCCCTGAGTCAGAAGGAGCAAAGCCATGGTTCTTCCTTCCATCACTATACATTATCGGTTTCTGAGATGATTCGGAAAACCACTACATGAGGAGATTCGCTGTAGCCACGACCCTTTACTAATTTCTAATGCCTACAAGAAAAGCTGCAGCTCATCTTCTGTCGCTAGCCATGAAACACAAAGACTACACCGTACGTGGTACAGTCTGTCATTTATATTCTCATCTGAATATCATTTTAAAAGATTCTCTTTAGGATCTGGAGCTATGGCTCAGAGGTTAAGAGCACTGACTGCTCTTCCAAAGGACCCAGGTTCAATTCCCAGCACCCACATGGCAGCTCACTGCTGTCTGTAACTCCAGGATCTGACACCCTCACACAGACATACATGCAGGCAAGACACCAATGCACATAAAATAAAAATAAATTAATTATCTTTTAAATGGCCTTTCTAAACTTCTAGAGCCCTTCAACATGCTCTGTGCACTTTCTCTTCCACCCTCTTTCCCTCGCCTATAGTTTCTACAAACTCTACAAACAACGAGGTTGCCATCTAAGGCCCTGAAGGAATGGCCCCACACATCCACCCTGGAGGGGCCCGCTTGAAATGACTTGGTTTCCCCATTCCCATGGCAAATGTCTTGTTTGTTTGGGGCCTTTGCAGGCCATGAAGAAAGCTCATGACTGGGTGGAAGAGGATCAAAGCCTGGTGTCAATAGATGTGACCAAAAGACCAGAGGAAGAAGAGAAGAAGGAAGAAAAGGAAGAGCGAGCCAAAGAACCCGAAGAAGACAGAACGGAGGGAAAAGGAACTAAGACTGTAGAGGTAAATCCACACCACGTCACCCACAGTTATCCATAATTGCTCTTTGTCAGCCCCATTTCAGGTGTGGATAGCCACTTCCCATTCACACCGTGCCCTGCCTTCTAGAAAGTGAGAGTTCCCCTACTCCAAGACGCCGTACGGCTTAACTTCCTGTGCAGTTCCGCACACTTTGTAGCTTGTCTCCATAACTTCATAATTTAGAAGCAGCAAGATCTTCCGGAGCATAGTTGATTTATCTTTACAGTAAATCTCCATCTTACATGCAAATTTGTTACTATAAATTTCCTTTATGTTCCCTCACTAAGGAGGTAATTGAAGCTCTTTTCTTCCCCTAAAAACGTTCGTGCCGTGGCTTCTTTGCTGCAGTTTAATGTCTGTGCGATGCTTTATGTCCTGCCCGTCCTCCAGAGTCATCTGCGCTAATTGCTCATTATGCCGGGTTCTAACTTCAAGCGACTAAGGGAGATCACTCTGAGGGAACATGTTCTCTAAGGAGCTTTCCTTCCACGCCCCACTCACCACCTGCCTCTGTTGAGGACACAGGTGTGACTAGGCTTGTCTTATCCCTGGGGACCTGGCAGCACACACACGCGCATGCACACGCACACACACACACACACACACACACACACTCACACACTGTATGCGCCGTTTGTCTCTGTGCGGAGGTCAGAGGTTGACTTTTCCTTTTTAGTCACTCTCCACCTTATTTCCTTTTGAGTTCAGGTCTCACATTGAACCTGGAGTCCCCCAGTTGTCTGTGGCCCATGAGCTTCAGGATCAGCTTGTCTCCATCCTTCAGTCTGGGGTTAGAGGTGTGCAGGGGAGGATCCATACCCGGTCCTCATGCTCATGCAGAAGCACTTTACTGACTAAAGCATCACCCCACCCTTGAGTTACATACGGATACAGGATCACATCATCTAGGGACTGGGGGTAGCTCAGTAGTATAGTATACATAATGTGACAGGGATTTTTGAAAAGAGACTTGTTTGTGACTAATTCCCTTGCGTGCATTCATTTCAGGAAGTGTACATGTTATCCATCGAAAGTCTGGCTGAAGTAACTGCACGCTGTATTGAGCAACTTCATAAAGTTGCAGAGTTAATTCTTCATGGACAAGAAGAGGAGAAACCAGCTCAGGACCAAGCAAAAGTTCTGATAAAGTAAATGCCACTTTGAATTCTTACTTTTTAAATTGTGTGTGTATGTGGTCCCTCACGTGTGTGTCTGTGCGTGTACATGTGTGTGCATGTGTGTATGCCATTCAAATGCACATATGCGCGTACTTCAAGCAACTGAAGATTCAGATTTTCGTGTCAACTGTTCCTTACTCGATGGTCATTTCAAAAGATAAGGACGCCCTTAGGAAATATGTTATACAGTAGTAAATAATAAGAATGTAACATAGGAGATTTGAGAGGAGACATAATAAGCTGGGCGTTAGTGGTGCACACCTTTAATCCTGGCACTCGGGAGGCAGAGGCAGGTGAGTCTCTGTGAGTTTGAGGCCAGTCTGGAGTCTGGTCTGCAGAGTGAGTTCCAGGACATCCAGGGCTACATGGGGAAACCCTGTCTTGAAATAGACAAAAAGAAAAAGAAGACACACTAAATCATTCAGCACAGAACATTGAGGGGAATCCTATTTTTATGCCACACCAACAGAGAAAGGATAAAAGTAGGCAAACCCACCCCACCCGTTTAGAGACTTTACTGGCCCTGTATAGTCTATATTTCTGAGCATGATAGCCACTGCTGCAAGCCAGTTCTCTGTAGGCTGCATTCCTATATCATGCATTGCAGTTTATGTTCTTCAATAAGCAGTTGTTGTTATTATTAGTTTATCTAGTGTTATGCAAACACTATACATAAATGTATACATGTATATGTAAATATATGCACACTGGAAAACAGTTGGTGTGGAATCTTCTTGAAAATCAAAAACAGAGCTAAAAATAAGTCATTAATTTTTATGTGTATAATTATATATTATGACATGGAATGTTAGCTGATGTCCAAATATCCCTCCATTCTTACTGAAACAAAGGAGCCCAAATAGCCCCCAAGAAAATACGTTGGGACACACACACACAAACACACACACACATGCACACACACATTATCCACACTCACTTTTCAGCTTGCTAATCTTACTACATCTGACAAGGCAAATTATGTATTTAGAAAGAAATTATATCTTATGCAATAATTCTAGAGAGATCGTGTACTTTCTAACATACGAAAGGAAAAGAGAACGACAAAGCAGGAAGCTTTGAAATGCTGAAGACAGCATCTAGAGACTGCCCTGTCTTCACCGTACAGATTGGAAGGAGGAGGGCTGAGGCTCAGAAGTCCCAGGGCATGAATCCTGGACCTTGCTCTGAGCACCTTTTCACCCCTGCCCTGTTTGTGCCAACCTCCTCAAGCTGCACCGGCCCCAGCTGGTCAGTTCAGTGAGTGCCCTTCCACCACCTGCCCAAGAACACACAGCATGGTTCTCTGCCGTCTCCTGGCCTGGCCCATGATGCTTCCTACGTACAAATTTCAGATGGATGGATTTCAGATGATGGAGTCCATCAGCCTACTGCTTAGTAGTTCAGTGACAAGGCTGGATTAGCCCATGGAGGTCCTAGGTCTCTTCCCCAGCAGCGTACGGAAGGGGTGGGGACTGAGAAGGGGGCAGATTCAATAAAGTACTTGCTTTGTTCACCTGAGGAGCTGACTTCATCCTCAGTCCTCTTACAAAGAGCCAGACAAGGTTGCAGGCACCTGCAGTCTCAGAGCTGGAGAAGTGGAGAGAGAGGAGCCCTGGGGCTTAAGCTGAACTTGCGAGTTTTCATGTTCAATGAGAGAGCTTGTCTCAGGAAATAAGATCAGACCCAGCTGGATGTGGTGGTGCACATCTTTAGCCCCAGCACTCGGGAGGCAGATGCAGGTAGATCTCCGAGTTTTAGGCTAGCCTGGTCTAAAGAGCGAGTTCGAGGATGAGCAGGGCTACACAGAGATGCTCTGTCTTGAAAATGAAAGGAAGGGAGGGAGGGAGGGAGGGAGGGAGGGAGGGAGGAAGGAAGGAAGGAAGGAAGGAAGGAAGGAATTTTAAGAGGGTAGGAGGGAGGGAGATTGGGCAGATTAAGGAATGCTCAGATATTGACCTCTGACCTCCACACGCATGTAAACACACACCTCCTTCCTCAACATGTGGCATATGCACCTACATACACACAAAAAAAAACTCTGAATATGCAGTTTAGATAGAGTCCCTTCAAAAAAGAAAAACTCCTTCGCTGACTTTAGGAGATCTTCTAACGTGGAACTGTTGTTTTCCTAATAGCCTTTAAATCACCATTAAATCACCCGCTCTAATTGTTAGGACAAAATCAGACAGAACACACATTGTTTGGCAATTATATTGTTTTCAGTTTTTGTCATCTGTGGCGTTAGGATAAACATTCTCACTAGTTTTGTCTGTCTTGCTCTATTTGGAGTAAAGACTTAGACGTAGAATGGCCAAAGTAAAGTTCGAATTTTGAGATATCCTAAAGACATTTTCCAGGGGCTCATTATTTTGAGGCATATAGTAAAAATGTAATCAGGATACAGAGAGAAGCTGGATGGTGGGGCATGCCCATAGTCCCAACTCTCTGTAAGCTGAGGCAGGAGATCTCCGTCTGGACCACACAGTGAGACACTGCTTAAAGGGGAGGCAAGGGATAGAGCACTTGCTTCGTCAGGGCAAGACCCTGGGTTGTCCCCTCGTGACAGAAAGTGTGTGTTTGTGTGTAGGGGTGCGTGCATGGGTGTGTGCATGTGTGTGCGTGTGCATGCGTGTGTGTGTGTGTGTGTGCGTGCGTGCGTGTGTGTGAAATACCTGCGTTTTAATCCCCTCTCTGTGATTACTGCTGTATGTTCCACACAGGTTACCTGGCAGGTTGAGTTAGTCACTGGGTGACATGTGATTAAGTGCCTCGGTGAGCAGCCATTATTTTAAAATGACCCAGATGCTGGAGGAAAGCCACCTGGCCTGAATTTCCAGTCCTATGAAAATGATGCTCAGGCCTGATACTTCCCTGCGCATGGCTTCGATTCTAAAAGGAGGGCAAACTAATTAGAGGATTATTCCTTAATTAAACTGGAAAGGAAACGGTGCCTGTGGACAACTGTTGAGGAAAACTGCTCATTTCTGTTGAGTGACTTCAGACTTAGGCGCTGTCCTTTTGATGTCACGCAGCATTCATGTCAATAATTGTCTCAAGGGTGAAGATCCTTTACTTTATGAAAAACTCTCGAACCTCTTTGTTCTTATTTCAGATTGACCACAGCAATGTGCAATGAAGTAGCCTCCTTATCGAAGAAGTTTACAAATTCTCTAACCACTGTTGGGGTAAGAATACAGTTTGGACCATTTTCTTGCATTGTTTAGGGAAGCAGAGCTGTGAAGAGAAGTCAGGAATATGACACCTTTGGAGACAACTCCATAAGTAGAGCTGTGTCATGCTGCTTGCTAAAATCAGGCCGAGGCTTCTTCTCCGTCTGGGCTGTGGGCTCCAGTCCGCCGTCCATCTGGGCTGTGGACTCCCGTCCACTGTCCATCTGAGCTGTGGACTCCTCTAGTCCACTGTCCGTTTGGGCTTTGGGCTCCAGCCAGTCTTCTGTCTGTCTGACTTGTGGGGTGAGTGGTCAGATCTTTGTGGGCCTCATTTTATTCATACATCAAAAGAAGGAGTGTAAAATGAAGGTTCTTTTCCATTGCTTATCATCTGTGATTTTACTACTCAAGAATCTCTACTAACACAATTAACTTTAAATATTATCACTCATATTGTCCTCTCTTATAAGTTACATATGATAAGAGTTTCAAAAGGAAAACAAAATGTCAATTAAGATCTGAGTGTTTCTGTTCTCAAGATAATAGCTTTGAAAAACTCTCCATTTGTTTCCATGTGTGGCTTCTGATTACTTATCCAGGTTGCTTTTTTTCTGTCCCTTTTCTGGCCCAGGTGGTCTTTATGGGCTGGGAAGGTGGTTTAGTAGATAAAGGCTTGGATGTGCAAGGATGAGAATCTGACTTCAGATCCCCAGAACCCGCCTGCAATGTCAGTGCTGGGGGGGGGGGGCGCGGGACTAGGGGTTCCCTCAGGTCAAGCTGGCTAGCTAGAGTAGCCAAATTGACTAGCTCCAGGTTCAGCAAGAGACCCTGTCTCAGTAAATAAAGTAGCGTGTGATTGAAGAAGACCCAGCATCAACCTCTGGCCTCCATGCCTATGTGCACACACATGTACCACCACACTACACATATATACATGGCAGGAGAAAGAAATTGGTCATATTATAAAGCCCCGTCTTCATAGGGTAGTAAGAGGCAAGTGGGAACCATTCCTCTTCAACCTTCCTACTTCTCTTTTAAAGTCCTGGATGCAAGATCTGACTCTCCCCAGAGACACAGGAGACAGGTTTCAGTTAGGGTATCTGATTGCAATGTAGAGTTTTCTGGGGATACCTGGAAGTCTGCCACCAGGGTTCTGCTCTCTCCTTGGCCTCTGGGATGGATATATAAATTCCTCAGATAAGTGGGGGGGGGCTTTATGAAAGGCATTGGAAGACTGTGCACAGCCCTGGGGACCCAAGAATAGAGCTCACCCCAGGCTCTGAAACATTGCCGGACTATGCTTCTCCTTTCCCATTCCTTTCCCCTGGGTGAGAAGTTTCAAAAAGACCATTGGCCAGGTCAGATGGTGTCACTCAGCAGTGATTGGGGACAAGACTGTGTCACACAGATTAACCAGCTGCTGTGACCTAACTGCGCATTAGATCCAAAGCAAGTTCTTCCGTAAGTCAGTCTGATAAAGGGTGAGCTACAGGCCGCCCGTCCATTCTGCTGTCAGGAGTCTGGTTTGCCTGTCATATCTTGGCCTTATCTAATTTTGGGCTTTCAGCAATGGTATCTCCTTGTCTGTACGCAGAGTGATGGGCGGCGGACTCCATTGGTATGGCAGGCGAGATGAAGCACACTCTGTACTCCCAGTTACTTGGTGACAGACTTTGGTGGGAATCGTGTGTTTACCCCGCAGCACAGGGCTGATCTCACCCATTCAGGGAATCCAAGTCCCAGAGAGGTGACCACATGCGTCCAGGCCTCTAGGTCTGTCTCTGGGCTCCTCACCGCAGCTCATCAAGCATCAGATAACCAACTGTTGGGTGTCCCAGGGGTGTCTGTGGTGTTTATATGATTTGTGTTAAAACAGGCTTTTCCCTGGGGTGGGTAGTGTTTGTGACAGTGTTTGCTTCTCCTTGTGCCATATCATACTCTAACATAGTGCTTCCTAAACCTTACCGATGACATCAACCATCTGGAGACCTCGTTCAAATGCAGGTTCTCGCTCAGTCAGTCCATGTGAGCTGAGGACAGAGGTTCTGCATTGGCAATAAGCCCTAGGGTTACCAAGCCAGGGTCCGTGCCTGAGCCAGGGACTCCACTGGCTGAAGCAAGTTTCCAGCAGCTGGGCATGTGCTTGGACTTACGTTTGTGTGCAGATACAAACACGCTCACAGACACTTTGCGCTGTCCGTTTGGAGACAGTGAAAGCTGCATCTCAGAAGGGAGCCTCCAGGGATGCCACCACACCACAGCAGAGCCCCTGTCTGCAGCTGTGATGAATAATTCGCATTTGTCATTGTTTCTGTCCTCCAAAACAGCCATTATTCATAACTTGAAACTAATGAGTGCGTATTGCTCTCCAGACTCCGTTTAAATTGCTCACACATCTCATTGGTTCTGAAAACCAATGCAATTTTACTGCCCTCGTTTTGATCACATCTTAGAGGTTTATTGATAATCCCATAAACGTGAAAGCATGTGCTAATAATGGATTTGCGGGTTGCTTACTAAAATGACTGCATTTTTAAAGAGGTTCTCCCCCCACCTCCCACAAGACTCCATTGCGGTTCCCTCAGCAAGGCCTAGCTCTCTATAGAGTAACACCATGCTAGCGAAGGGAGGCTTCTCTGGGAAGATATGTTTAATTCATGTGCTTTTGTTTGCCATAGAGCCTACCAGGAATGGCAAGGGAAGGCAGCCCACTAAGATGCCCTATTAATGATTTATTGTTGTAGGAGTAGATTGAGCAGTTTAGATAGGGAAGTCTGCTGATTGACAGCTGAATGGTACAAGTTAAGGAAAATGGTCGTCTCTGCCTTTCGGAGTGCCTGAAGTAGGGATTTGATCTCCATGCTTAACACATCCTTGTGCTGCTCTTCAAACCTGATTCTGCAGGCGTGTTTGAAAGTTATATTTGAGGGTGTTTGCACCTTATTGCTCTTCTGGTAGATAACCTGGAACTCGTGTTTGCAGCGAGGTGGGAGAAGAAGGAAAGAGGGAACAAAGAGGACGAAGAAAGGACAGACAGAAAGATTGGACTACCAGGATAAATAAGGAAAGGACTTAACCCTCCCGAAAACTTTGGAAAAGCCAAAATATGAAACTAAAAAAAAAAAAAACATACAAAAATTCAGGGCCTGGAGCGATGACTCAGTAGTTAATAGCATGGATTACTTTTGCAGAAGACCCGAGTTCAGTTCCAAGCACCCACATAGAGCAGATTACAACCGCCTATGATTACAGCTCCAGGGAATTCAGTGCCCTCTTCTGGCCCCTGAGGGCACCTGCTCTTATATGCACATACTCCACACCAACACATATACACATAATTAAAAATGAGTAGAATGAAACTCTCAAGAATAAAAATCTCAGTAAGCTATACAGCTATCTTAATTAAAATGTGTGGTGAGGCATGATGCATGTCTGTAATGTAGGATGGTGTCAGGCAAATTGTGCAAAAAGACAGGATCCAATCAGCCATAAACTTCCAACAATTAGAAAGATCTTAGTTTATATTTCTAGCAAAGTGAACTTGCACAAATTGCCCAACCTTCAGGACTGCTATTTCTTCATCTAGCCCCTAGGCTTACCACAGCACCAATCCCCTGCTAGGATTGCAGGTAGAACTAGAGACCACATAAGGAAGGTGCGGACACGAAGCCTGGTCTACAGTAAGCACGCACTGCTCTCCTTCCTCTCTCTAAGACCTCCCTCTGCAAAGCGGTGTCGTACATTTGATGTGCTAAACCTTACGGTATAAGCCCTTAATCTGTCAATTTTATATTTTCAATTTCACAGAGCAACAAGAAGGCTGAAGTCCTTAACCCCATGATCAATAGTGTGCTTTTAGAGGTAAGTAGCCCCCAGAGAGAAAAGTACTCCAAATCAAAGCGAATGTCACAGCTATGTTCTTTCTTTCTTCTTTCTCCCAGTCAGCAAGTGTTATCAAAAGTCTAAATTTTATCACCAGTAGTCTAACAGTCGTGTGTGTGTGTGTGTGTGTGTGTGTGTGTGTGTGTGTATGCATTTCTGTAGCTCAGCAGCTGTAAAACCTCTGGTGGAGCCACAATGCCTAATTTTCATGAATTCCTGGTTATAAAAGAAAATGCTGAGCTTGCAGGTTATTTCCTGCTACTGTCTCTCCCTCACTCCCCCTCCACCCCCCTCCCGCAGAGGCTGATTTCTGCTGCCAAGTTTGACACTGTGATTATTGGCTGCCATGGAGGATTATTGCCCACTGGTGATTTCCATAAAGGCAGGCATTTCCCATCGTTCACGAAAACTTTTGGTGTAGCTGAGTCTAAGCTCCAGGTTAGCAAAAATGATGCACCATGCCTGCCTGTTCAGTTACAAGGGTAGAATACTTACGTGATGAAGGCTCATGGCCCAACTCGCCTGCTCACTAGGACTTCATAGCATCAGCTGCACAAAGGGGAGGCTGTCCCAGCTTTGCTATGGCTCTACCAAAACGACCCCAGTGATGCAAGAGAGAAGCAGCCCAAGATGCCTTCTTCCTCTTAGAACTTGGGTACTGTGTTCTGCATGCGGTCAGAGGAGGGTCTTCCATGGGAGACCGGACTGTAAACCACTCGCAGTGTGTTGAAATACGGAGCGGCGGGCTGTGTCCCGCCACCCGGCTAGCTTTACCCAAAATAATTACACAGAAACTGTATTCTTTTAAACACTGCCTGACCCATTAGTTTCAGTTTCTTATTGGCTAGCTTTTACATATTGATCTAACCCATTTCTATTAATCTGTGTAGCCCAAGAGCTGGCTTACCAGGAATGATCTTAACCTGCGTCTGTCTGGAGTGGGAGAATCATGGCGACTCCCTGACTCAGCTTCTTTCTCCCAGCATTCCGTTCTGTTTACTCCGCCTACCTAAGGGTTGGTCTATCAAATGGGTCTAGGCAGTTTCTTTATTAATAAGAAATCACTCCCACATCATTTCCCCTTTTTCTGTTTAAACAAAAAAGAAAGGCTTTAACTTTAACATAGTAAAATTACATATAGCAAAACAGTTATCAAGCAAGAATTACAGTTACAATATTTATATCTATTTTATCTTTTATCATAACTAAGGAAAACTATAACTATCTATTCATTCTTCAACTCCATCAAAGACTCCAGAAGGATATAATACTACCTAAGTAAACAAGAAATAAGAAAACTCTAGAAATGACAGAGACATCTTGCTGCCTGGACAGTCACCCAAAGTTCTTTTGTATGGTTGGGGCATCCATCTTCAGCCTTCAGGCCCATAGTATCCAGCAGACATTTCCATGAAGCAGGAAATTTCAAAGACAGTTCAGTCACTATCTGCTGTGTCCTGCAGAATGTCTCGCAGACTCTTTCATGAGTCATGAACCCCAAAAGACCGTCTCACCTTTAGGCAAGTTCAGCAGTCCTCTCTCTGCGGGTTCTCTGTGTCCATTTTATGCAACAGTCCAGGCAAGAGCAGTTTCTTGCCCAAATGGCTATCCAACTCCATAAGGATCCTCTTCGATGCCCATCTTCCTCTCGAAGTAGATTGGTGCCACCAGGAGCAGATATGTCTCATTGTCATGAAAAGTCCTAAGTTATTAAAACATTAAATGCCATATTCTGCAGTCTTTGAAAGATATGAAGAATGTCTATCTAACTGAAATGTATCTCTATATATCTAGAAAATCTAACTAACATGACTACAAGCTTGACTATTATTGATGATTAACCATTAACTTATATTTCTTAATTATACATTACATTTTTAAATGAACTACACAATCACAATACCTTAATCAAGATCAGAAATACATACACATATAACAAAATTGACTGTAAAATCCGCACCAATGCAAATTACTCATACCTATATCATTTTCCCCTTTAAATGTGAAGGAACATTTACAAACAATATTTTGGGAACATGGGCGCAGTTTTTTCTCTCCAAACTGCTTCCTGCTGAATGGGGGCGCTGTTAACCAGATTATTTAGGGTGTAACCTGTGTGCCAGGTTTATCTCAGTTGCCAGTTGAGTGAAGTAATTTTTTTGAGGGTGTTCACAGGAACTTTTCGGGAGGTCGTGGTCTATCATACCATATCGGGATAGATGCAATCCACAGGGTCTGGTCCTCTGTGAAAACAAAAGAAGACCCTTTCCAAAGCATCATATCCTTAGACCCAAATTCTGAAGTCATACCCTCATGATATCTGTTTTGGTTTCACTTGGCAGCCCATAGAATGAAATGTCTCTCTGTACTTAGCTCCTTTACAGTCAAAAATTTTAAAGAAAACATAATGTACATAATCCAGACTCTCTGTGAATTTTCCATTTTTACGTGGCTTATTTTTCTTTATTTCTTTTAATCTCTTAACTATCTGTACTCTGTCTATTTAAAGACTTTACCTTTTTTTTTAAACCATTAACTTTATTTTCTATATTCTTTTTCTTCTCTCTCTCAAGTCTATGTGTATTCATCCAACAGTGTGGTCTTTTATGTCTGAATCTGTTTTATTGTGAATCTGTAACATTTTTTTACTATCCAGGAACATTTCTTAAAATGTTAAGCAGTTCTTAAAAACTTAAGTTGTGCCATGTACAGGTAATATGGTACCGCCTGTGTCTTGTCCAGTTGAAACCTTAAATGTGCTGTTTTTATGGTAATTACGGTAGTTCCTGCCTGAGACCATCACAGTTCAGCATGGCAGAGCTGAGCCAAGCCGCTCCTGCCTCAGAGCCATTTGGTGCCCCTGAGCCACACACAGTTCCAGGCACACAGCAGTCCACATTGCCATCAAGCAAGCTGTAGAGCTTTACTCCAAATGCTCCATTCAAAAGCTCTGTCTCCCACAGGAGCCAGACAAAGATCGCAATGGCGGCACAGCCCAGAAAGCCGGCATTTTAAAACAGCCAGTTTTTTCCTGCTGATGAGTCAGGACAATTTCTTTGCGGCACGCAACCCACAAACAGCAAAAAGCTGTCTTAAATTTTCTTTCTCTCCTTTTTAAGCCCTCTCAGGTTTTACGTGGAGTTTATTAGCACGTTGGGTGCCACTCTGTTGAAATACGGAGCGGCGGGCTGTGTCCCGCCACCCGGCTAGCTTTACCCAAAATAATTACACAGAAACTGTATTCTTTTAAACACTGCCTGACCCATTAGTTTCAGTTTCTTATTGGCTAGCTTTTACATATTGATCTAACCCATTTCTATTAATCTGTGTAGCCCAAGAGCTGGCTTACCAGGAATGATCTTAACCTGCGTCTGTCTGGAGTGGGAGAATCATGGCGACTCCCTGACTCAGCTTCTTTCTCCCAGCATTCCGTTCTGTTTACTCCGCCTACCTAAGGGTTGGCCTATCAAATGGGTCTAGGCAGTTTCTTTATTAATAAGAAATCACTCCCACATCAGCAGTGGGTAGCCACAGGGCTGGACAAGCAGATGCAGGACACAAGCAATGCACGTACCATCATCTTCACATTAGATGTCAACGGAAAACTCAGAGACTACAAAGCACCAGAAATGCTGTCTATGGCAATATTGCTGGGCATTGTGCCTCATTGTTAAGCAAAACTGTCAATGGACAAAAGTTAACAAAGCGGTGGCAGTAAGTGTCATTGCTTAGGTCCCAGCCACACAATGGAATGGATCAACCAGAAGGGGCAGGAGCTACAGGGACACATCCACTGGAACAGACACAGTTAATAGGAACCCTGGAAGCCGAAAACAGAATATAGTATAAGAAAATCTACCTCCTGGAAAGCCAGTAGTGCTGTATCCCAGCAATCCTAGCACTCAGAGGTCTGAGGCAGGAGGATGGTGAGTTCAAGGCCAACACAAGTTGTGTAGTGAGATTCTGTCTCAGTTCTCAGTCTCCCACCCCAAATCCCTGTCCTGGCTTCCAGATTAAATTGCACATTAGCATGACAATTGACCATATTTGTGCACCACAAATATGAGACCCAATTCTTATTCACTGGCCCAGAAGAAATGTTCATGTTCTAGATACCCTAAATTTCACCATTTTTACAATAATCTCCCTGTGGAGAGCTTTCTATAAATCCTCTGTGGTTTCGGCTCTAGTCTCCTGTGATTTTTAGGGCTCTAAGGTTGACCTGAGAAAGGGGTGGATAATACTGGCCACACTGGGCTGTGGATCTACACATACTGGCATCCCTTAAAAGCCCGTGGCAATGATTTATCTCATTTTGAACGAAGTCCCTTCAATAATTTACATAATTTAGACCCAGGTATGTGCCATCTAAAAACATGTGTTTGCATTTGCCACACAGACGAACATTCTAAGAATTTCATGATGTAGTTTGATGGTTGCCGTTCCCTCTCCTCAGACGGAAAAGAATGTTGTCAAAAGGTGACAGCCATTGAAGCTGAACTATGAAACGATCCCTCAGCCCCATTTTTGCGTCTTGCAGGGCTGCAATAGCTCCACATACATCCAGGACGCCCTCCAGCTGCTGCTCCCGGTATTGCAGGTCTCCCACATCCACACCAGCTGTTCGAAGATGGAGACCCAGCCAGACTCCAGCTAGTTCAGGGTAGACCAAGCCTCTTCACTACACACCTTTTAAAGGCGATGATCTTCAAAGTCACAGGCGGGACCACTCATCTGAGGACACTACAAGCAATTTTGCACAGTTTTGCAAATACAGAGAGTTAACTTTCCCCTTAATGTATATTGTTGTTGTTTTATCAATAATTGTATTTTCTTTATATTAACTTAAACTTATACTTGTTATATTGAAATTTTTCTTTAATTTTCAGTTCCTTCACAAATATGTGTTTTCCTAGTCAAACATGCTTTATTTAGAAATTCATAGGAAGACCCTAGATTTTTGTTCGTCTTTGAAATGTCTACCTTTAAATGCCCTATTTTTCTAAAACATGCCTTTAAGTCAGTTCTTATACTGAACTTCATTTTGTTGCATAAATACCACAAGCAAAAATAACACTACTTATTTGGTTTTTAAAAAGGGCATGAATATATTTTTGTTGTCCTTCGTTTTGTGACAAGATTTACTGAGCACCTACTATGTGTATTCCATAAAGGATGTGACCTCGCTCCAATAGACATGTTCTGAAAGATGATTTATAATAACCCTTGACATATTCAAAGATATTAAGATGTTTTCTAAATCTTAAAATACTTGAAGAACCAAGTAAACTGGTAGTTACTTAAAATGGGCTACCCTTCAATTTATTACAGTTTTTCAACCTCTTTGAACTTCTTTTAAATACCAAAATTACCTCTAGGGTAAAAATATGTATGAAAAGATATTTATTTTTGAGACAGGATCTCACTATGTAGATGGCTAGCCAGGAACTCTTTATGTAGACCAGGCTGGCCTCAGATTCACTAGGATCTGCCTGCCTCTGCCTCCCAGGTACTGGGGTTAAAGGTGTGCACAACCACACCTGCCTGGCCTGAAGACATATTTTAGTTTAGGGTATGCGGTGGCAAAATTAGAAAGCTTGAATGTATTTCAGTAGAAAATTAAAGCGGTTTTAGCATAGTAGAAGCCCAGACCTGCATTCCAAAACTACCCACTAAAACTGTGGTGGCAAGGGTTAGAAAATACCGATGCGTTCTGGTATATTGGTTCAGGGAGATGCCTCGAAGATCTTGCAGCCAGCAGTAGCAATGCCGCACCTGTTCTTGGCAGGTTGGGAGTCTGTGGCATGCTTCTGTTCCAGACCCTCACTGACATTCGTACCAGCTGTGTCCAAAATAGTCATGCCCAGTGGCTCTCCCAGGCAAATGATGCGTGGAGTCTCAAAAGGGAGAAAGTCCCTTTGCCTTTCTTTCTGTGATAGAATCAACTCTCCCTGTTCCCTACAAGTCGAGTAGATATCCGAAGTCTCTGCAGCATTTTTGTGTGTCCCTCTTTTGTTTCTCAGCTATTTGGCTCCTGAAACAACCAAATAAAAACGGAAGGACAATTTATTTGCGACCTAGAAAAAATAAAGTTCTCTTATAAAACCAAGGAAAGATTCACGTCTCCTTTTCTGACACCTGGAGTGTCTCTGATGTTAAGTATGGTGGTGATTAACTAGTAATGATGTCGCATTTGCCTTTATGACTTCTATAATTCTTATGTATAGAGCAGAAGAAAAATCTAGATGTGGACATTTTTTTCACATCTGATGGGTTTGTACATTAACTAGAAATATAGAAGAAAAACACATGCCGCAAATGAATTCCCAGACTTGGTCTCTCAGCCGTCAGTGTTGAGGTGGTGGCTCAGCAGCAAAGTGTTGAGAAAAACGTAAGAACCTGGGTTTGGATCCCCAGCACCCATATAAAATCTGGGTGCACACCTGTAATCCCAGCAGCGGGTGATGGAGACAGGAGGACCCTGGGTCACTGGTCACCTAACCTAGTTGATGAGCTCCAGGTTCAGTGGAAGGTCAAGTCTCAAAAAAACAAAAAAATAACATGAAGAACTGTAGAGATGGCCAAGGTGGATCTGTGACACACGTGGCTGCCCAAATATGTGTGTGCACCAGCTCAAAACACATGGTGGTGTATGACTGTAATCCTAGCACTCAGGAGGTAAGGCAGGAGGATCGAAAGTTCAAGATCATCCTCGGCTACATAGCAAGTTCAAGGCCAGCCTGGGCTACATTAGACCCTGTTTTTAAAACGCTACCTAAGCATCCATTTATTGTACAGCAAAAGTTTTAATTATACAATAAAGTTTTTTAAAACGCTTTAAAATAATAGATAACTATTTTTAAAGAAAGCAACATTATTGACATTTTTGTTTTTTAATAAAAAAATTATCCAAGTTACCAAGTGGAAACAGGAACTGAAAGTGTTTCCTGATCCATGGTCTGTAAATTAAACTATTTAAGAGAGACAATCGCTGACCCATGGTCTAAGGTTTCTCTCTCTCTTTACCAGCTTCCACCGCTACTTTGAAATAATTGCTGCTTTGCTTTGTTTTGCTTTAAAAGCTGTCAAAACCCATGATGGAGACCTGGGGAAATGTGTGTCTATTACTGAATGAATGACTCAATAGGCTTACCATGGAAGTTCGGTATTCTCTCAATAATACTTTACATAAATTAGCTTCGTTGCACTGCACACAATTACCCTGAACAAGCAATGCCAGATTTTGCATCAAGTACAAAATAAACTCTGATGAAAATATTGAACATAGCCCTGCGTCTGTGCCTTATTAAATAAAAAGCATCCAAAGCACGTTTCAAAGCAAAGAACATTCAAGAAAAATTGCTTTGGGGTATTGATACATACAGATCTAAAGGACAGAGTCCCAGCGAGAACAGGAGTGTGTGCTATTTCTGGTCTCACATGAGCTGGCGTTCTAGCAGCAGTATGACTTTGCTGAGGCTGTGACGGAAGAAAGCCCTACACACCAACAAAGAAATGGCCTCCCTCAGACCCAGAGGGACCAGGAACGTGTTCACACTTTTCATCTCTGCAAAGGAGTGGCACACCGTGGAGGCAGGACCAGGAGTGTGTTCACACTTTTGTGTGCCTGCGCCCATAATACCTGGCAGAAACTACTTAAGGAAAGAATGGTTTTCTTTGGGTGCAGTTTCTAAAGATTTCTGTCCATCCTGATGGAGAAGGTATGGTGAAACTGGGCGGTGTGTGGCTGTGGGAGCGTGTGGTGGAGGCTGTTCACATCACTGCAGACCAAGGGAGCTGAGAGTCCAACAGGAACTAGAGGAAACCTTCAAAGGCCCCTAAGGGCACACTCTCACCAGCTAACTCTCTCCCTCCACACACCACACCTAAAGTTTCTAGGTCCTCTCTCACAAAACAACAACAACAAACACAACACCAACTGGGGAACAAGCATTCCAAACAGGAGCCTGGGGTGGGGGAGGAGCACATTTCAGGTTCATCCCATAAGAAGGAAGCATTGACAAAGCGCTGGCTAAAGGAACGTGCAAATTAGCAGATAGAACCCAATGCAGGAAGTAGACGTGTTCCTGTGCTGGGTGGAAATCACATGCTCCAAGGTGCTTATAATTCCAGAGAGGCACCAGCGCAGGCTGGCCACGCTGTCTGAGATGCAGTAGCACAGGCTGGCCACACTGTCTGAGATGATGCACTAGTGCAGGCTGGCCACGCTGTCTGAGAGCCACCAGTGCAGGCTGGCCACGCTGTCTGAGATGCATTAGTGCAGGCTGGCCACGCTCTCTGAGATGCACTAGTGCAGGCTGGCCACGCTGTCTGAGATGCACTAGTGCAGGCTGGCCACGCTGTCTGAGATGCACTAGTGCAGGCTGGCCACGCTGTCTGAGATGCACTAGTGCAGGCTGGCCACGCTGTCTGAGATGCACCAGTGCAGGCTGGCCACGCTGTCTGAGATGCACTAGTGCAGCCTGGCCACGCTGTCTGAGATGCACTAGTGCAGGCTGGCCACGCTGTCTGAGATGCATTAGTGCAGGCTGGCCATGCTGTCTGAGAGCCACCAGTGCAGGCTGGCCACGCTGTCTGAGAGCCACCAGTGCAGGCTGGCCACGCTGTCTGAGAGCCACCAGTGCAGGCTGGCCACGCTGTCTGAGATGCACTAGTGCAGCCTGGCCACGCTGTCTGAGATGCACTAGTGCAGGCTGGCCACGCTGTGCCTGTTTGAGGTACAAAAGCAGACGAATCCACTCAAGTCTACAAAAGTTTGAAGCTATCGCTGCATTTCTCTTTGTCCTACAATGAAGTGCTTGGGTTTTTGTTTGTTTGTTTTGTTTTTTGATAATGTAAGAAATTGCCCTTTGGTCCTCCTCTTAAGAACATTACATTCTAATGTTCAGATCTGGGCTTCACCTTGGCTCCTTAAATTGCCGTGCTTGTAAAGGCACTTCAGAAGAGACCAGACTGAAAATCCATGTGAGAACGGCGATTGGGTCCCGGTTCTGTAGTTGATTGGAATTCCTAATGGCGCAGGAGTGGCTTCAGACCAGCCATTCTTCACACGAAAGAAGACAAATGAGGTGTTTAGCTGTGTGTTTTGTCTTCTGAGCTATCTCATCCCGTAGGCAGGTTTGTATTTATTCTCTGTGTATTCACCCACACTAAATGATCTTCCAGAATATCTGCCAGAAAAAGGTCTGAAGAAAAACATCATTTTCTTCATTCTTTTATCTTCCATCCTAAAATCAAGGAGTTATTGCACACTTTGAATGTACAGCCTTTATAATCAAATTATGATAACCCAAGTCGTGAGAATCATTGATGTTTTTTCTACTACTGCCAGTGTCTGAGGCCATCACAGATCTGGAACAGAGTCTGACTGCAGAGGGTTAGATTTTGTGTTGAGATCTGAGCTAAATTTACCCTTGTCTGGATCACAGAGGATTTTTCTCTGCATGAGCTGTTGGCCAAAAAGCAATAGGATTATGCCAGCCTGTAGTGACTGCAGCTCACCTGACTGGCCCGCCTCTCGCATTAGTCTCGAAAGAAGTTTAACCTGAAAAGAATAGCACGTGGATGTCTTCAGTGCCTTCATTGAGTGCAGAAATTTGGAGCGATTCTAAGCTGATCTGTCCTCCTGCCCTTCATGTTCCACAGGCAAGCTTCTCGGATGCTATTTGGAAGAAAAAGCCAGTGTGGACGCCAAGGCCAGATGGGTGAAACCTTGGCACAAAGCAAAGCCAAGCTCTGCCTTTGAGTCCTTGCCATCTCTATCCTGTTTCTTTAGCAGGTTTTTTTTTTTTAAAGCCATTAAAATGCACAGCTTCCAAGACCAGTTGTTTTTTGTTTTTTAATGATCTGC